TGCACCATGTCACCAAAGCACATTATTTGTCTGTGCCCGACCAAGCCGGCGCCCAGCAGTGCTGCCTGCCCTGGGCGTTGCTAGACCCTGGTCCCAGCCAGGAGCTGTGCTTGTGATACTTGTCCCATCCCCAGCACACTTTGATAGCAGTGACTCTCTGCCTTGGTCTTACGAGGGCAGAGTTTGGCCCTTCAGTTTGCCCCTGCTGAGGTAGGGAATCTGTGGTTTTGACTAGCTGAGTGATAATGGGAAACAGAGTCAGAGCCCTGGAACAGGCTGCCCACGGAGGTCATGGAGTCCCCTTCTCTGGAGATTTTCAAGGCCCGCCTTGATCCAGTCCTGAGTAATGTGCTCTGGGCAATCCTGCTTTAGCAGGGGAGTTGGACTAGATGATCTCTAGAGGTCCCTTCCAACTCTGTCCAATCTGTGAATCTGCTAGCTTGGGTATTACCTAATTGCAAAGCTGTTAGCCCCCTGAAATGCCTGCCACAGCATACAAACCACTCTTGAAGGCCAGAAGACCGCTGTTCTCTGGAACATGCATCACACCAGACGGGCTGCAGAACAATGGTGCACCAATCCCAGAGGACTATACAGGGGCAGACACTGGCTTAGCCCATCTCCCGGGTTTAAAATGACCTTCACAGGTCCAGTTAGGACTTCCTTGTGCCCAGGGTGGTGGGGGAGCACAGTACCTAGGGGATGATGTCATGGAAGGGATCCCCAGCAACTATGTGCGACCTTTGCTGAACACAGAGAGAGGACTGAGCCCCACATGGGGACACTGCCTGAGGTTTCCTCCTTCAGTTGGCCTGAGCACCAGTGCACATTGAATGCCAAACCCCTTGAAGTGGGCCATCACCCAGCAACATCTTTGCATGAAATGGCTCCCTCCCATGCTCCAAGGGGCCCATGCTGTCTGTCCTGCCATGCTGAAAGTAGGCTGGCACAAGTGAAACCTGCCCGTGTTGCCTGAAAGTTGCCTTTTCTTTTTTTTTTTTCTGTAAACAGGACCATACTTGAGCTCTAATCTGTGCTGGGATGAAGCATTTAACATCTTCAGATGTTGCCAGCTTTACAGTCTGAAGGTTGAGGACAGCTAGGGGGAAAAAAAACAAGAACAAGAAATCTCTTGAGCTGTGGAGTTTTTCTTACTGTTATTTTCCTTTGTAAGATGAAGGTGATTTTCTGTAACATGAAACTGTTGGATTTTTCTCTTTCCCCAAAAAGATTTTTTCATTTGTTAATTGACAATGCGTAGGATACAGTCTACCTTGGTGTAAACAGCTTAACTTCTCAGGCTGCTGGGACATCTTTGGTAAGGCTGCCTTCTGCCCTTCTCTTAAGGAAAAGAAAAAAAGGTGTCATTTATTTCTGCTGATGAGCAAATGAGTGTTACCAGCTGAATTAGGTTCATTACTCGATATACCTCATATTCCACATGCTGATACTGGAGCCACCAAATGCTAACAAAAAGAATTCCTAAAAACGTTACTCTGCTTTGCAACGGGATCATTTCTCTGACAACGATTTTTTAAGGCCACTTGCACAATCATTTTTTGGTGATATACATCTCTGAAAACACAGCTGGGTTACTGCTCATTCAGCCTGGTCGTTCTTATTTTAACAGCGTGCACAGGTACTTTTAGTTCTGATTAACACAGGTGGGAATGTTCATTCACATTAAAACCAATAAAAGGGGTGGCAGTTCTGAAGGAGGGAATGGGGTTATGGATCTTCACTGGTGAGTAGGTGCTGGTTTTTGGTTTTCAGTATTTACCCAGGTCTGCCCTTTCTGATATTTCTTTGAGCTCTTGACTGAGAAATAGGGGGAGGCTGTTTTTTGTTTGTTTGTTTTTACTAAGTGTTCAAAATAACAATGTTTGAGTGTGCTGGAATTGTGTTTCTGCAGCGGTGGCTCTGTCATTCAGAAAAATGGTGATGTCAGTGGGTCCACAGGAGAAATCTAGCAGTGACATATTGGATAGCCTTCCCTTTGAGTGCAAAGGGTGACTACCACAAGTGCTGATTAGTGAAATTCATTTTCTCTACGTAGCACATACACTGCAAAATTTCACTTGTCTTTTCTGCTTTTTTCCTCATGTTTTTGTGTGAAAGCGGAGGAAAAATGTGGGGGGTGTGGTGTTCTCACATCTTCCTCTTTTCCACAGTAACTGTTTTTAGCAGTATTTAAAGACCCTTTCTTATTAAATCCAAGTTTCCCTTTTCAGGCTGCAATACTTCTACCTGTTTAAACCTGTTTCTGGAGCACATATAGGTGAAATGCTGAAGGCCTATTAAAGTGTGCGATAAAGCTTATTCCTGTGGGGATTTTGCTGTGAATTAGTGGGTTTACAGTACCTGCTACAGTGCTCATATAAAGGAATCTCTTCTGAACTTCAATATGTATGAGTCCTTCAACATTGTTAGCATCCTAAGGATGCATAATACCTCTTCCCTTGAAGAGATGGCTTCCAAGAATCAAGGATATGTGCTTAGGGAAGCTTTAACTGATGGAAAAAATGACTTCTGCCACTGATCAAAGCAGAACAAAGCACTTGACCACTATGCTCTCCCTGTTATTGCAGGGAGTTCTCTGAAGGAGAAGATACCAAGAGCTGTGATACTTAGAAAAAGAGAAGGAGCTATGACTGAGAATAGCGTCTGTGAGTTCAGCTGTCTATGTAAAATCTAGGCAGCCTTAATGAAGTGATTAGTAAGAAGGAGTATGATGCCTTGTCACTGCAGACTGGCAGTGATGAGCTCCATCGCTTTCCCTGGGTCTGCTCATCTTAGAGTGGGGTTAAACCTCAAACAAGAAATGCAGGTGTGGATGTAACAGGCTGGAGTTTCATTCTAGTTGAAATATACTAATGGCAGAAATATTAAAAAAAAAAAAGCTTGAATTTAAAATGAAAGTGAGATGATAAACTGTACAGCTGTAACAGGTTTGCCAGTAACTTCATAATAATGTGGAATACATGATTAGAGTAGGAGAAGAAAGTGCATGGGCCCATCTGACTTGCAGAGAGGCAGTCCCTGTCTGAAAGCTACTGTGACTTGGGAAAACAATCTATGTATGAATGAATATATTAATGATATTTTTTTCTACTCTGACTACTGTGAAAACACCTGGTCCTCATGTCATCTGCATTTGCAAACTGTGCTGGTCATCCTGTTACAAAATGCATGGGCAGAGTACAAAAGCACAGGATTTAAATCAGAGCCCAAATCAAAAAATACAAGCACTAGAAACCCTGCAATAGAGAGACACAGAGTCTCAGTCTGTCTCAATAGCAAACTCCTCTCTGCCTTTTCATATAGAATGATATTTTTTTTTTCTCTACAGAGAAGTTGTAACCTGTTCTTGTTCTGGTATTTGATTTCTCTGTGGAATACCAGCTGGTTAATTATGTCAAAGTAAAACTCTTGATTTCTATTATGATCCAATAAGGCCAATTCGCTTCTACATCCATCCATCTAATTCAAGGAAGCTATACTGAAGGAAAACTGGAGCAACAGAGTGGCAAATAATTTCTGATGAAAAGAACAAATTTGCTTTAAATTAGTCGTTTAAATCAGCAAGCCAGAAATCTGCATTTAAATAAATGATTTTAATCTTTGTTTGCATTTGCACTTTACTTTTTTTCCCCTGAAGAAAATCAGATTTTCATTAATGTGTAGCCCTCTCACTGTAATTATTACAGCTAAATATAACCCCTTACACTATTTTGCAGGAGAGTATGCAATATCTTTACAAATCTATGTCGCTAAGTGCATGTTTATTCCCTTGGGCTTGTATTTTTTAAGCAAGCGGTTTGTTTTTCTGCTGGGGCTTTACTTCAGACTGGTTCTGTTTTGCAACTCAGGCTCGTGAGGGCTCTGCCCTTCCAGGCTTTAGAACAAGGTGCTGCCCATACCTCTCCCCTGTCCTGTTCGGAGCTGGGGCAGGAAGGGGATGGTGGTGGGTGCCCATGGGCGAGCAGTGGGTGCCTCCTAGGGGAGGAGGACCCAGCACTAGGAAGAGAAGTGCTCCCTCCACCTCTCCCTCCAGGGCTGATGAATGCTCTCTGGAACCCTTTTGGTCCTGGTGGCATGGCCAGTGGCTGCTCCCCGCCCGGCAACGTGGCCCTGACAGCAGCTTAAGCAGTCTTTCTTAAATTTTCTTGAACTGAACTTGATGGATCACAGCTGGCTGGGCCTGAAACAATTCTGTGGGGTTCTTTGAAATTTCAAGTATGATTTTAGAATCATAGAATCAATCATCTAGGTTGGAATGGACCTTCAAGATCATCTAGTCCAACCATCAACCTAACTCCCACAAAAAAAACCCCATCACTAAACCATGTCCCCCAGCACCACACCAACCCATCTTTTAAACACCTCTGGGGATGGTGCCTCAGCCGCTTCCCTGGGCAGCCCATTCCAATGCTTGATAACCCTTTCAGTGTAAAGATTTTTCCTAATATCCAGTCTAAACCTCTCCTGGTACAACTTGAGGCTGTTTCCTCTTGTCCTATTGCCTGTGACTTGGGAGTATAGACTGACCCCCGCCTCTCTACAGCCTCCTTTCAGGTAGTTGCAGAGAGAGATAAGGTCTCCCCCCAGCCTCCTCTTCTCCAGGCTGGTTTTACAGGATTATTCCCACAGTAGCATCAGGTGCTTAGCTTAGTCGTGTTTCACCCCCTGACTAGGGAGGCCCTGCGGGTGCCAGCGCTGCCCGACTCCTGCGCTTGACACCCACCGGTCACCAGCAGGGCCCACTCAGCCCAAATACCTCCTGCCCCCTTGCTGGAGGGGCAGCAAAGCCAGTGGCCACAAGGAGCAAAGGTGGCACCCGTGCCCATGGCTGCCCCGGCGAGGAAGCCATGGGCGAGTGTGAGGTGACTTAGGGAGGAGAGCGCCCGCCTGCCGCCCAGCCTTCCCCCCACGTCCCAGCGAGGAAGCCGTGGGCGGGCGTGAGGTGACTTATGAGGGTGAGCGCCCGCCCGCTGCCCAGCCTTCCGCCCGCGCCCCGGCAGGGACACAGAGTCTCAGCAGCCCTGCGGCAGGAGCCCATGGCCCGGCCCTGAGCCCTCCATCTCCTCCCTGCCTCAGGGGGTGGCCTCTGGGCCACTCACCCAGGGAAGCCACAGGTACCCCTGGGGGGGTGCTGGGGAGGAAACCGGGCGGGCTGGCTTCTGCTGGTGTTTTTTTTGAGGGCAGGAAGGAGAGAGGGGTGTGTTGGCGGGTGCTGTATCTCCTCCGGGTGCCATCCCTCCTCTAACCCTGTCCCCCTCTCCTCCCAGCCCAGGAACTACAGGAATATGGCATGCCTGCCCACCGCCCCACCAGCACTGGCCTTGAGGAGGTGGCTGGGGCTGGGACTCTTCGTGGGGCTCTGCCTTCATTTAGGTAAGAATTAAGGGGGGGGGGGGGGGTGTGCTGGGCATGAGCCCTGTGCCGGTGGGCAGGGGATGGTGGCCCCCAGGGCACACGTTCTGCTGCCTTATGAGAGGGGAGCTCATCAATGCTTATAAACATCTGAAGGGCGGGTGTCAAGAGGATGGGGCCAGACTCTTTTCAATCAGTGGTGCCCAGTGACAGGACAAGGGGCAATGGGCACAAACTGGAACACAGGGAATTCCATCTCAACATGAGGGAAAACTTCTTCACTTTGAGGGCAACAGAGCACTGGAACAGGCTGCCCAGAGAGGTGGCGTAGTCTCCTTCTCTGGAGATATTCAAAACCCACCTGGATGCATTCCTCTCCAGCCTGCTCTAGGTGACCTGCTTTGATGGGGGGTTAGACTAGATGATCTCCAGAGGTCCCTTCCAGTCCCTACCATTCTGTGATTCTGCCAGGGCTGAGGTTGGGCCAGGACTTGGGATGCCTGGCTCCACTAGCCATGGCGGTGAGCCCTGAGGACTCCTGAGCTCTCAGCTACCCAGGATGGTTGCGCCAGGCTGCCAGCTCCCCGAGGGGTAAGGTGGTCGCCTGTCCCAGCTGAGGTGAGAGGAAGGAGAGTGCTTTTGGGGCAGCTGATATCTGCAGGAAGTATGTGACACGGCCCCTCAGGCTTCAGCTTTGGTGATGGAGCAATTTGTGTAGTTTTTTGGATGGCTAGAAGCGAGTGTGCGGTGGGGAAAGCAGGGCTGCATGGTGGGTCGGAGGGCTGCCCGGGCAGCGCAGCACACAGTGAGTGTTTTCTCCAACACTAATCCATGCTGGAGGCTGTCACCCTGTCCTGCTGCAAAGCTTTTAGTCCACAGGTCCCTCCTGACCTCAAGAATCTTGGGATGAGTCTTCTCAGTTGTGTGAAATGTTAGCCCTGAAACCACACAAAACTCACTTCTGAGCTGTGTTTCACTGTGGATGCAAATAGGTTGTTCTTATTGGTAATTTTAGTGTTTCATTGTAGCTAACAATACTCTAGAGCAAACCTGGGCTGAACTGAGACTTTGATTAAAAATCAAATTATGTAAAAATAAGAGTTTTTCATGCTTATTTTGTGAAACTGGGAGATATTCGATGCTGAGTTTCATTTTGAGTTTATCTCAGAATCTTAAAAGAAAACTCAGATAATTTAACAGGGATTGAATCACAGAGCTCACTTGTAAAGAAAGAAACCACCTCAAATACCACTTGTGAGATCTCTGCTCTCCTGTCTTCCCACACACTCCTTCCCCTGCCTGTGTGTTTGCGAAGCACATGTCAAGCGCGGATGTATTTAGCCCGTACTGCAAAGGGCAAATAATCTATCCTGTGCAGAAGTGTTTCTCTCTCTGTACTTTTAAGAGCTTGTGGTATGTCATTAATGTAATTACAAGCATGTGGTAATTAGCCACTTGTGTAGTTTCTCTAAAATGGATGCTGATTCCAAGGACAACGATGGGCAATACTTGGATATACAGCCTGATACACACTAATATCCAGTACTAGAACTAGGAGTTTGATAATAGAAAATTAGGTGTTCCTATAGTTGTACTTTTTTCGGTACGGTTTACTAAGGGAATGATAATTTATCCTGCTTTCTGTCTCTCCATCTGCGTCTCCTAACTTTCAAATCCCCTCCCCAGTTTCAACGAAATTTGACAGGAAGGCAGAGCTGGCGGAGGTGCCGCTTCCTTGCCTGCCACTAGCTAGCCACGAGCAGCATCCAAACAGCCAGAGGTGGGGTGCCCCTACCCATGCCCAGCCGACAGAAAGGGCAGGAGGGGGCTGTAAGGAGGGTGGTGGCATCAAGGGCTTGGGAACGGGCTGGGAGGTGCAGGGAGAGGTGCCTGGGCTGGGTAACACAGGGCACAAATCCATAGGCCAGCAGGTTTCTGAGAAGACTTACTTCTCCAAATCTGATCGGTTACAAAATTCTGGGGTTTAATTCTGCAAGAGGCGGAGTGGAAAAAACACATTTGTTTAAAGCATTAGATCAGCTTTGGGGCATGATTGTTAGATGCTTCCCACGCAGTGAGTCTGTGGAAGTCATGCTACCTCAGGAGCAGGTTGCTTGGCAGACAGATAACAACAACACAGCCGAGGCACTTCCTTTCTCTCGCTGTGTGCACACATACACACCCTGCCTTCTTTCTCTCTGAAAAGAGGTATTCCTGTGTTAGTGGCCCTTAAAAATATATGGTACAGTACCCGCAAATGACTGGTTTTAAAAGCTTTACTGCCACTTGTAGGTGATGTCTTCCCTAGATTGCCCACAGGGACCACAAGGACTGACTCTGACCTTGCCATGACAAGATGGTGACGCCCTGGGAGTCCGCCATTGTCCTGCCAGTGACTCCCCAACCCCAGGAGTTGTTAAGTAAGGCACCAAGGCCAGCATTTACAGAACTGACCCTCTGTGGGATAGCTCGTGACCCCAGGAAGGCGCAGTCAAAGCTGGCATCCAGAGCCTGTGGCTACATCTTGCATCCTTGGGTTAAGTCCAGGTGTTCTGGTGCTTGCATGCCTCCGTGCCACAGTGCTCCAAAAGGTCCAGTAGTGTGCTAGGATGAAAGCAGGTGCTCTGTGTATGACCTAGGTGAGTGAAATAGTAATATGGGGAATGCCAGGCTGATTTTCTACATCATAGCAGAAGAAGTCTTTAAGAGGGTCTTAATTAAAAAGGATGATTTGAAAGTTGTATTTCATAAGAATTCGTGTATGCCCAAGCTATGTAGATACATTTATTTCCCCTTGAATTGAATTTTGCTACTCTGGGGTTCACCTGAGGTCACCCACTGAAATGCCAGTGTAATTTAGAGCTACTTCTGAGATGTCATCTGCTGCTGGAAACACTGATGTGCATGAACACCCTGCTGTCTCAGCACACTGGAAAAGTGACAGAACAGCCTTGATTACAGCCTTGATTACAGCACTAACTTATTTATTTACAGTCTGAACCCATTACCGGTATTCCAATGGGCTTGTTTTTCTCCTGCCATTGCACCTTCACACCCACCTACGAATATCAGGATTTTCTCAGTCGCAGTTTGTTGTATTAGGAAAATGTTGCTAGAAGTTACCCAGTATGACCTTTCCTTGCCCTGTGTGTGAACGTGGTGTAAGCACTGGTTGCAGGGCCTTGGTGAGCCTGGGTTTAGTTCACGGAGCCTTTTAGGCTCCTCTGGAGTCTTTTCATCTGACTGGGGGCTGTCTAGTGCTTGGTTTCTTCCCAGTGGTGAATTTTTTTGGGAATTTTTGAGGAAAATCCCTACAGCTTTTCTGAGTTATTGGAGAGTTGGGAGTGTGGGGAATAGCCACTTCCCTCCGCATTGTGAGCGAGCGTTGGCTCACAAGCAACTCACCCTGGGAATCCCCTCTCACATGTTACTGCCAATAAAGGGCTCAGAGTGGAGCCTGGTTTCGGAAAGGGACAAAGAAGATTGAGAGAGAAAGATTCCTTGTTTCACGGCCACCCCCAAATATTGAAGTATCTAGTAATGAGATTTAGAGGCTTGGCAGCTAATTTCCGTGCCAGCTTTTGTATGGATTGCGCCCAGGGCAGATTTCATGATGGAGATGGCAGAAATTTTTCTTTACATACCAGATTTTCCCACTTGATCACTGGATGCAAATTGAGTTTCTATCTTATTGCTCTTGCTGCCTTCAGCTGGTTTTTTAATTACTTTTTTCGGATGAGTTTCTGTCTCCTCCTGTTCCAGACATGCAGAAAATAAATGTCTTTGGTTCAAAAACAAGAACAGAGGAACTAAGGAACTCCTTTTTCTGTCTCTCTGTCTGTCTGTCTATCCAGAGTGAAACCTGCTGTAACAGCTTGTCTGGAGAAACAGAAACCCAACTAAAGGCTCCTTCTTTTGGTTACAGACTCTGTTTTACCTCTTCTGCTGTGCTTTTTTTTTTTTTTTTAAGCGAATGAGTTCTTTAGAAAAAACACAGCAAATTGAACATAGACAAGCTACAATTCTTAAACAGCCAAAATAGAGTTATCTGCCTGCATGCTGAGTTTGTAAAGCTACCGCTCGAACTCTCCATTCACCCACATTGTTTCCTCTTTCCAGTCAGATCAGAATGAACCCAGATAACTAACTCCAGTGAGCAAACATTACTCTGAGGGCAACATCGTTTTTGCATTTCTGGGATCACTGAGACATTTGTAACTTTTTTTTTTTGCATGGTGAATGTCAGACATTCCTGCATTTAAACATGCAAAGTTTGGGACTGGTTTTACACACCGCAGAAGGTTACCAGCAGAAGTTGCCGCCTCGTACGCCCTCACACCTTTCCTGCTTGTTGCTGCCTCAATTCTGAGCTACAAGCATGGTTTAACAAGCGGAATTAATCTGACATAAATGACGACTGCCACTGATGGAGTTATCCCCTTGCCTGACTTGTGAGGAGTTAGTTTTCTGTGGGGGTCAGCCCACTCCCTTCAGTGCCAGTCTGCTTTTACAGCCAACACTTGAGGGGGCCAAACCAGAAGGTGCAATCCTGCTCCTCTCTCCCCTGCTTCTAGCTGTGCAATCCTCCCTTCCTTTGTACTGGTTCTGGTACGCATCTGATCCATGGATGAGCTAATTTGACTCCCAGATTAGCAGAAAGTTTCTTTTTTTCCCCCAACGTGGCATATTGAATCAGCCTCTGAAGAGCCTGACAAGGAAAGCAGGGGGACCGCTTGGGGTTGGAAGAGAAAGAGGAGCCAGATTACCTCTGTTCATGTGGGGAAGGCATGAGATCAATGCCAGTTTGTCATCTGGCTGCACCCTGAGGTAGTGCCGGGCTGGAGAAGAATTTCCACATTCAGAGAAACTCTCCTCCTTTTTAAACATGTGTTTCCTACTATAAGTGCTGCGTGCGTGTAGATGTGGTATTTTTCATGAGATGGCAAGGCAAATGTGCTGAACATAGTGAAGGCTGTTAGCTTGGCAAAAGGAGGCCAGTTTTGTTTTTAAATAGATTAACT